CTTGGTCCATGATATCCTTAGCATCCTTCTGTAGAACCATATCTCTGTCACCTTGAGTCTCATCTTCATTTTTGAGGAAATCGTCCAACATTCATTGCCATAAAGGACGACAGATGTCATGTAACAGTTCAGTATTCTTTTCCTTGTTACCAAAGATATCCTGTTTCACAGTACTCTGCCCAGCTTTTGCAATGTGTCCTTGGTCATCCCAATACACCTACAGATCTCAGTGTTGCACTTAGTGTACCTCTGTCAAGACGCTTCCCAAGTATTTAAACTTCTGCATCTGCTTGATTCTAGTGTTCCCATGATCACATTTCAAGTTCATCCTCTTATTGACGACCATACACTACATCTTATTTCGTTTATGCTTAGTCCTTTCTTCTCGCTCTCCATCACTATCTTCTGTAGGAGATTTTGTAATTTCATTTCCGTGTCTGCTATCAGTACTGTGTCATTTGTGTATTTTATGTTGTTAAGATTGTGGCTGTCAATGCTAAATCTTGGCAGTATTTCCAATTCCCTCAGAATTGCTTCACTGTATAGGTTGAACAGGTTGGGTGAGAAGATGCATCCTTGCCTTATGCCCCTCTCTATTTCTGTATATTCACTGAACTCATTCCCTATGTGCATGCATGCTGTTTGCTGCCAGTATAGTATTTTGTTGATTAACCTGATATCTTTCCTGAATATATCGAGGATGCTGAGCAGCTCCATCAGATCCTTGTGGTGTACTTTGTCAAATGCCTTTGCATAGTCTATGAAACATAGGTACACATCCTTCTGCATCTGTATGGCTCTTTCTCATAACATCCTGAGTATGAATATCACATTCCTTGTTTTGGTGTCTTTAATGAACCTGCACTGTTCTTGTCCTATCTCTGGGATGATTCTGCTGTGCGCGCTTGTTCATTAGAATACGGATGATGAGTTTTATTACGTGGCTCATTAGGCTGATTGTCTGTTGGAGCTCACATTTGTTTGCACCTGTTTTCTTAGGCATAGCTACGAAGATAGATCTGCTGAGGTCTTCTGGTATATCCCCACTGTTGTAGATTTCATTTGTCATTTCAGTGATCTTGTCTATGCCAAAGTAATGTAAGGCTGTCAGCATTTCCGTTACAATTCTGTCTGGCCCAGCTGCCTTGTTTCTGTTCAATTTGGCCAGTGCAGCTTTTACTTTGCTTTTCAGAATTCCAGGTCCGTTGGTAGTTTTGTGTATTGCTGGTTGTTCATCATAGAAGAGTTCTCCAATGTACTCGTCCCAGCATTGAAGAATTTTTTCCGTCTCTAATATGAGTGTTCCATCCTTTGATTTTAGGCAGCCTGTTGATGAGCATGTCTTCTGTCCTGTTAGTTGTCTTATTTCTTTGTGCATATCACTTTTGTTGGTAGTATTCAATCTTTCTATTTCTGCACATTTTTCGTTTAGCCATTCTTCTTTAGCTTGTCTGCATTTGGTCCTTATTTCATTGTGTAATTTTCTCTATTCCGTTCTGTATCTTGGCTGTGTTTTCTGTCTTCTTTCTATCATGTTGAGAATCTCCTCTGTCAGCCATCCATTTCTCCATCTTACTACAATGGTTATAATTCAAAGACTCTTCTAAGATTGCTCTAATATTGCAAACATAGCACTGGGGACTATGGGTACATGCTAAGAATGATTTGTACAGTTATTTATTTATATAAGAATATTTTTTCAATATTACAATTTTTCTATATAAGAATGTTAATTTTTTTTTAAAAAAATGGGTGGATTTTTTTCCCCTTTTTAATTTTCCTGGCTTCCATTGTGTAAATAGAAACTTCCTCTCTTGTCTACATTTTTTCATATTTTTTTTTTCTTTTCTTTAACAAATTTTTTTGATTTGTACATTATTATTGGTAATTTTTCCTCCAAGGATAACCTGCAAACACATTATCCATTTCCAGCACTCACCGTCTTCTTGATTATGTCCATATAACCATTATCCTCATAGCTTTTCTTTTAACCTCCATATGTAACCTGAAAGCATTATACTAGTCTTGTTATATATATATATGTGTGTGTGTGAAAATATATAGAAAATAGGAAAGAACTTGTTAGGTAAATAATCCAAAGTTCTTTTTTAAAAACAATAACAAAAATACTAAAGAACTTTGGATTATTTACCTAACAAGTTCTTTCCTATTTTCTATATATTTTCACATATATTAGCTCCCGAATTAAAGTCGAGCACTCTGAACATTTATTTTTAAAATAACTTCTTTATTATATATATATATATATATGAAGAAATATAGTCTTAAGATGTGCTATATTTATGGGATAAAGTGCTCAATATCAGAGATAGAGCGTGTGTAAATATAAAAGTGAACATAGAAGTCAACACTTAGAGGTGACAGTCTGTTTCATGCTAGATGCAATTGTCAGGCCATGATTGCATCTAGCATGAAACAGACTGTCGCCTCTAAGTGTTGACTTCATATGTTATATATATATATGTATATGTATGTATATGTATATATATGTATGTATATGTATATATATGTATATGTATGTATGTATATGTATATATATGTATATGTATATGTATGTATGTATATGTATATATATGTATATGTATATGTATGTATGTATATGTATATATATGTATATGTATATGTATGTATGTATATGTATATATATATATGTGTATGTATATATATATATATATATATATATATATATATAGTAATCCTTAATTAATATAAGTTTGATAATAAAAAGAAAAGAATGCATTGATTTAAAAGAGTTTGGATCCAATGTGTAAATATTGTTTAATGGTTTGAAATCTTGCTTCTGAACATTTTCAAGATCCAAGGATGAGAATGTCTTTTTTTGTTTTTTTAAATGTTTTAATTTCTAAATTCTTCATTATAGTATTTGTGTTTGAAATTGAAAACAAAATAAGATTTTCAGTTTGTAAACTGGGATTTTGAAAGTATTTAATTGTTGATAGATACATTCATCCCATTGACATGTTCTTTTTTATGTTACCTGGTATATTATGTTATCATTATACAGTTTTTTTTTTATTTTAATTTTTCTCTTTATTTTAGTGAAAATGATATCTATATATAAAATGTACATTTGACACCATAATAATAATGCTACAAGTAAAAAATAACTGGTTGAAATTATTGTTCTAATATAGCAAACAGCACTGAGAACTTTTGCATTACTTAATAAATATAAACCTTCATTTTATATAGATTAGTGGGTGGACATATCAATGAATTTTGTACCATTTATTTCATGTTTAGTACAATTTTCTGATTTATACTACATTGGTTTTCACAAAAAGGGTAATTCTGTCTTTACACCAGAAGAAGCTTGTAGAAGATTGGCAAAAATGTAACAACAAAAGTGCAAAAAAAAAAAAAAAAGGATTAAATTCATTATTCTTGAGCAAATCTTGAATTAATAATGACTTTGCTAAAGATTACAAAACTATATCATTGTAAGCCTATGGTAGACAATACAACGAATCCCCTAAAATGTTGTGGCAGCAAAAATACCTCCATCATCCATGCAAAATTATCCAAGTAACTCTGAAAAGGAAACATTTATGGATAAATATTTGATTAACAAACCTGGAAGTTTATTTTTTATATTGATCATGTTTTATAATCTTTACACAACTAATGATAAACATTTTTAAATTCCTAGCAGTATTCATAATCTTAATTTAAAAAGAAAAAACATTAATTCTTTGCCTTTTTTAATCTTCTTAATTCTGACTTTCAACAGATTTTCTTAGCAATAAAGAACTGAACCCTTTCTCTTGCTTAAAGATTTGCTACATTGCCTTGTTTGAGTAAAGGCTTTCAGGAATTTTTATTTTTTAGAATTAGTCACTAGAATTAATTATGCCATCATTGAAACAAGAAAAATTAAAGGAAAAAATGAGAAATTGAGTTATGGAGATTTATAAGATCTTTGTCATAATAAATAGATTCTGTGGACGATCCTCATTTTCTTGTCATTTAAGGAAAAATCAGGGTGTGTTAGATAGCCATGACCCTACAAGAAGTTTATACACCCTTTTAAGGATTTTGTTTTTAATCCTGCTGTGTATCCCTCTTACCAGAAAAGCATGATGGATGAAACAGTTTTGTTGCCAATATGCAACTTTTGTAGCAGGTAATATTGAGCTATATGGTAACACTCACAGAAGGACCTGATATATCTAACTGTATAGTTTTCATTGTTACATTTCTTCTCAGCCAATTAATGTTTGTTTACATATACAACTTTGGTTGAAGACCAACAGTAGTTCTTTGTTTTAATCCTTAACAAAAGAACTTTTGTTGATCTTCAGCCAAATTGTATAATTTAAAAATTACTGCTCAAATACACCCAATACATATTCATGTGTCTGCACACATGCACATACAAGAAAGACATAGATACATGCTTGCTAGCCATATATGAAGAGACAATGAGTGAAAGATTGAAAGACAGGTATGGATAGAAAAGTTTAAAAATTTAATTATGGAGCAAAAATAGAGCAAAAAAAAAAGATAAAAATTAAAATCATACTGACATGCCTTATTCTCTTTTTTGGTAAAAAAAAATAATTCATGCTTGTATAACATTTAGATAAGAATATGGATAGGCAATGAAGATTAGAAGAGATAAAGGGAAAATGAAAAGTTAGAGGCAGAAAATAAGAGAAACGGCATGAGATAATGGATAAGTTTAGTTGTCAATACCTTTGGGTTCAGCTAGTAATAATTGTAATACTTGGGCTTACAATGGCTCTTTTGATTTAATCTCTGAAGTTCTTTTATTGTATATATTTTACAAGTGATAACAAGTCTACAATGGTTCCAACCTATTACACCTCATCTTTAGTACATTCCATCAGTTATTTATTAGTTTTCTCTTAGTGTGGCTTTTAATTAAGTAGTGCATATGTTGCCTCCACCCAAACACATTCTCTCAGCATTTGTTATACAAATATCAGTATAAGTAGATGGTCGTATGAAATGGGAAACAAAAGAACAAACTTCTGTTGACATATTGGAACACAAGGCATGACAAAGACAGTGACATTTTCATTTTTGAGCTGTTAGACTGCCTCTGTTTTCCTACAGTTTTGTTTGCTTCTCCTCAGCTGGTTCCTGCTCTCTCTCTCTCTCTCCAAGTTTTCCCTTACTCTGTTTACCCAGCTGGTTGTCTTTTTCTCTGTCTTTCCATATGCAAGCTTTCTTTCTTTCTCTTTCTCTCCAAATGCAAGTTGTCTCTCTCTCTCTCTCTCTCTCTCTCCAAATCTGAGTTGTCTCTCTCTCTCTCTCCAAAGAGTTGTCTCTCTCTCTCTCTCTCCAAATGCAGTTGTTCTCTCTCTCTCTCTCTCTCCAAATGCGAGTTGTCTCTCTCTCTCTCTCTCCAAATGCGAGTTGTCTCTCTCTCTCTCTCTCCAAATGCGAGTTGTCTCTCTCTCTCTCTCCAAATCGAAGTTGTTCTCTCTCTCTCTCTCCAAATGTGAGTTGTCTCTCTCTCTCTCTCCAAATGTGAGTTGTCTCTCTCTCTCTCTCCAAATGTGAGTTGTCTCTCTCTCTCTCTCTCCAAATGTGAGTTGTCTCTCTCTCTCTCTCCAAATGTGAGTTGTCTCTCTCTCTCTCTCCAAATGTGAGTTGTCTCTCTCTCTCTCTCCAAATGTGAGTTGTCTCTCTCTCTCTCTCCAAATGTGAGTTGTCTCTCTCTCTCTCCAAATGTCTCTCTCTCTCTCTCCAAATGTGAGTTGTCTCTCTCTCTCTCTCTCCAAATGTGAGTTGTCTCTCTCTCTCTCTCTCCAAATGTGAGTTGTCTCTCTCTCTCTCCAAATGTGAGTTGTCTCTCTCTCTCTCTCTCTCCAAATGTGAGTTGTCTCTCTCTCTCTCTCCAAATGTGAGTTGTCTCTCTCTCTCTCTCCAAATGTGAGTTGTCTCTCTCTCTCTCTCCAAATGTGAGTTGTCTCTCTCTCTCTCTCCAAATGTGAGTTGTCTCTCTCTCTCTCCAAATGTGAGTTGTCTCTCTCTCTCTCCAAATGTGAGTTGTCTCTCTCTCTCTCTCCAAATGTGAGTTGTCTCTCTCTCTCTCTCCAAATGTGAGTTGTCTCTCTCTCTCTCTCTCTCCAAATGTGAGTTGTCTCTCTCTCTCTCTCCAAATGTGAGTTGTCTCTCTCTCTCTCTCCAAATGTGAGTTGTCTCTCTCTCCAAATGTGAGTTGTCTCTCTCTCGAAATGCAAGTTGTCTCTCTCTCTCTCTCTCGAAATGCGAGTTGTCTCTCTCTTTCTCTCTCTCCTCATGGAAGTTGTCTCTTTCTCTCTCTCCACATGCAAATTGTTTCTGTCTGTTTGTCTCTCTCTCTCTTCACATACCAGTTCTCTCTTTCTCTCTCCCTGCTGCTTCTCACTTTCTCTGTTATTCCAGATTTCTATCATTGTGTATTTTTCTACCTGACACTTATATCTGTTTTTCTGTGTTCTCTCTTTAACAGTTCTTTCTGTCGCTCTCTGTTTTCCTTCAGTTCTCTCTCCATCTTTCCCTTTTTATTTGATTCTCTCTCTCCTAATCTCTATCTTTGTTTCTCTTTTTCTGAATACAATTTTCTTTTTCTCTTTTCCTCTCCACACTCACACACTTAGTTAAATTTTTATTTTCTCCCTCTATCTGACTCATTAATTTAGCCGTCTTTTCATTTTACTTCTTCTTTTATAAGTTACTTTTATGTACTAGGCTTTTTCAGTACATGAGCGATTAGGACTCTCCACAGCTCTGTTATAGCTCTAAGCAATATTTGATTTTTTGCTGTATCTCTTTGTCCCTGCTCTGTCATTTATTCCCACAAACTTTGTTAGGTTGGTTCCTTAATATTTTCCCCTGCTCTTATTGTCTATGGTATGCCATATGAATGTTAAATTTACCAAGCCTTCTTTCTTCATCACATCATTATCAAACACCAGATATTCTAGAAATTTCAATTGTCTTTTTTTGATTTTAAGTATAAGTGTCCTACTTCCTAGTTTCTTTAAAGCTTCCTTGTTTTTTACATGTTCCGTTCATGATATTCTCAGCATCCACCTGATCTTTGTTGCTTTCAATCACTTCTTCATCTATGTGAAAATTGCCTTGCGTTCACTTCCATATTGGTGGATAGTTATGATGTAGCAGTTCAGCACATGTTTTTTATAATTAAATTTTCCTATCTCTTAATACTTTGCTTAGTTTTAGGAAAGCATTTTTTGCTATTCCAGTTTACCTTCAGATTTAATTTACATTTTCTATTGTCTGTTACTACAGTAAATTTTCTATACATCTCCAGTTCTTAGCTCACACCTTTGGCTATCACTATTGCCTTCTGTTACTTATCACATGTTGTAGATTTATAATAGTTGTATCTTGATTTATAGGTTTCTCAAAGATCAAAGTTCCAGGTCAATAAAATCATTATCTAATTAAAGTTTAATCAACATCAATAAACATGTTTTTTCACTGTTTAACATGTGCCCACTAAATATAAATATAATAAAAGAATATATATATATATATATATATATATATATATATATATATATATATATATATATATAACATTTCATCTCAAGCTAGGTGATTTTATATATATATATATATATATATATAATTTTGTGTGTTATAATTGTTTTTTTTTTAACTATATAATCATTGCAACACTGAAATTCTTATGTTTCAAAACTGAAACTTCAATTTAAATTCAATCATACAAATTAAACTTAAAATACAAAGTTCCATTCCATTATCAAGCAATGCTAAGAATAACTTTTTAGAAAATGATTTACTTAATTTATAAGTTCAGACAAATTTAATATTTTGAGATGCTAGGGTTAAGGAAAATTCCATCTTTTTATTTTAGGGGTGTTAAGATTTAACTTATTTAGAAAACTCATATATATATATATGTATTGTAGCTATCAAGTTGGTCAAGTCAAGGTGAGGGCTTCTTCAGGGATTGATCATTGCCAATGATCAATCACTGAAGAAGCATTAGCCAAAAGGTTACCTATACCCAGAAAGGGGTGGGGGGAAAATTGAGCACAAAATTGTTTCTATTCAGATCTATTTATTTATTCTGTGGTACCAAAACATTATTCAGATATTTAAAAACCAGATATCACAGGATTATTATTAATGAGTTCAGTAATTCAGTTCGACTAAGTTATGTTCTTTACATACCAAAAGAAAATTTCTCCTTTCTTGCCTGTCTTTTAGTGTTGTCCCATCTTTTATCAGACACAGACTATTAAGAACAAAAGTTGACTACAGTTCCCAGTTTGCCAGTGATTGGTCCCTGAAGAAGCGTTGGCCGAAAAGTAACCTAGGTCTGTAAAATGGGGAAAATAAATTCAGATCTATTTACTTATTCTGTGGTGCCAATATATATATATATATATAGGAAGACTCTTCAGTATTGGAGATTGAGCATTTATAGATATACTTAGTGTGGAATCAACATTGCATAGTGATTGTCAATTTCATGTTTCATTGCAATCTTCAGATTAAGATTATATATATAACCCAGTCTGTCCTGCTATTTACCCATAGCTGTGAGGAGAAGAGATGGATTCATACCATTCCCAAGGGTATTAGCATGTAAGTGAATATAATAAACTTAATTGGAATTTAAACTTATCTCTCCGATTCCTCAATCTGAACTGCAGTCCATTACTCCACCATTCCTTGGGTGGCAACTGATCTAGGAGAAGGAAAAATTGGAAATGAAACCAGCCTGTCAGGTTATTTTGCCCAAGATACACTATTTTTACTGCAGCTGCAATATATGTGATGGACATATGACTCTAATGAGTTTGGTCATTTTATATATATATATATATATATATATATATATATATATATATATAAATCAAGAATAATTTTAGAGAAATCTATGACAGTGAAAAAAATTTTGTGATGTGTTTAATCCTTTAAGACTTCATCTGACTAAAGTGACATTTATATTGATGTGACTACACATGTGCATGAAGGGGATGGGATGATTGAAATTTTATATGAATGAGAAATATATATGCCAATGTTAGCATTAGCCAGGTCCTAAGATTACTATTAACATTTAATATTTATTATTCATATATATATATAAAATTCATATATAGGAATCCCTTGATTAATGTGCATTTGATTAGTGTGTTAACATTTGTATATGCCAAAATTCAATTGGTGTGGTAAAATATTTTTCAGTTTAACCATAGTAATTGAAAACTGATTTTTTATACTTACCACTGTGCACATTAGCTATACTAGTTGAGGGATTCCTGTGTGTGTGTATATATATATATATAGCTTATTACTGTAAATGTTATTTCTAGTGGGCACATAGTTGCTATCCCTGTTTTTTTTTGTTTATTTAATTTTTTTTTAATTTTTAAGAAATTTAAAAACAAATTTAATTAAATATTGATGTTAATAACAACCGGCCTAGATCAAGAAGTTCTATGAAAATGAAATGAATTAATAGGGCCATAGTTATCAACCAATATGTTTAATGGCAAGAACATTTAAATTTTCTAGTACCTCCTTGGTTTGATAATGTTTTTTGTATTGCTTTTTGTATTGTATTTTGTTAAAATAAACTGCTGCAAAAAATACTGCAGTTGGTAAAAATTAGATGTATCTAACTATATTTATATCATAGATATTGGCATATAGTTAGATATTTCATCAAATCTTGGACTTTTTAATGTACTTTTTTTAGAGCCGTTGATATAATACATTTGACTATTTTTATACATTTTGGCATATAGGTAGTTATTTCATCAACGCTCACATGAATTGATAGTTAATTTGTCAGATTTATTTTTCTAGTCTATAAGAGACATAGAATGTTATTAATGAACTTCTTTAGAGATGTTGATATAATACATCTATGTTTACATCATAGATTTTGGCATATAGATATTTAATCAACACTTGCATTAATTTAATTTGACTGGTTTCTTGTTCTAACCTATAAGAGCATAGAATGTTATTAATGAAATTCTTTAGAGATATTGATATAATACATCTGTTTATATCACAGATTTTAGCATATAAGTAGTTATTTCATTAACTCTGGTATTAAACTAGTAGTTAACTTATCTGATTCTTCTAGCCTACAAGTGGTATACAATGTTGTTAATGAATTTTAAATATGTTAATATAATATATCTTTTGCTTATAGATTTTGGAGTATAGGTAGTTATTTCATCAACATTCACATGAGTTGGTAGTTAATTCACTGATTCGTTATTCTAGCCTTGATTATTGTTGGTAATGGACTTTAGTGATAATCCTATAGTACTTTGATGTTTATAGTTTGTGGCTATTTTGTCAACACTGCTATGAATTGTTAGTTAATTTGACTGTTATGTTGTTCTAGCCTACAAGAAACATAAAATGCTGTTAATGAACTTTTTTTTAGATATGGTCATATAATACATCTGAGTATTTTTATATCATAGATTTTATTGTATAGGTAGTTATTTCAACAACATTTCCATGAATTGGTAGTTAATTTTTCTGATTCATTTTTTTAGGCTACAAGAAACAGAATGTTGTTAATGAAGTTCTTTAGACATGTTGATATAATACAAGGGTCATTCAATAAATAAGGCGAATTTTTTGGTATAAGGACTTCTTATACAGATAGAAGCTTACTATTTTTTTTTTCAATGTAGTCTCCCAGCACTGTCACACACTTTTCCCATCTGTGCACAAGCTTCCGTATTCCCTCAGCATAAAAATCTTTGGACTGATGTCTCAGCCAATCGCTCACAACACTTTTGACTTCATTGTCACTTTTAAACTTCGCGCCTCTCATGAATGCTTTCAAGAGACCAAACAGGTGAAAGTCTGAAGGGGCAAGGTCTGGGCTGTAAGTTTCCAGCCCAGCTCGATGATGGTCTGCACCGTTTGGGCTGCTGTGTGAGGCCTTGCATTGTCATGATGCAAGATGACTCCTTCTCACTGATGACCCCTGCGTTTGTTCTTTGTCTTTCTTGACCTGCCTCAGCACTTCACAGTAGTTGGCACTGTTCACAGTGCTTCCTTTCTCAAGGAATGAAATGGTGATTGGGCCTTGCATATCCCAAAAAACGGTGAGCATCACCTTCCTCGTGGACTGCTGGGACTTGAACTTCTTCGCTGGAGAGCCTACGTGCTTCCACTCCATGGACTGCCGTTTGGACTCAGGCTTATAGTGCCAAACCCATGTCTTGTCACATGTGACCATCTTCTTCAGAAAATTATCACCATCCTTCTCATAGCGGGAGAGACACTGCTGGGACAACTCGACCCTCCTCTGTTTGTGCTCTGCAGTAAGCATCTTTGGCACCCACTGCAGCTGACCTTCGAGTAGCCAAGGTCATCATGGACAATTCTGTGTGCTGTCCCAACAGATAAGCTCAAAGTCCTTGCAATGTCATCCACTGTCACCCTTCTGTCAGACTGAATGAGGTCATT